CGGGGGCTGAGGCGGCGAGGTAGCCGCCGCTGCCCACCCGTGTGAGGAAAACGTGTCAGAAAAATTCGGGCCCGTACTCAAAAGTCACCCGGAACGGGACAGGGCATAAAAAGCGTTCGTGGTGAAACCCCCCCCCTCCGCCGTTGTCGTTTTTGCTTAAGTTCGTTACCAACGTGAGCGCGCAGTGTGGTTGGCTTCGTGCAGTGCTTTGAGGATGGAGGTGATGAAGAGCGTGTTAGAAGGCCGGGGTTGAATTCCTGTTAAATTTTTAGTCAAATGTGTTAATTTATAACTCAAAAATCCTTTGAATGTTTGTTATTGAAAGGAAAATGTTTCCTGATGGCTTATCTGGCAAATCATCCAGTCAGTTTTGCTGTTCCAAGCTGTGTTGCGCGGGGTGGGTAATTCCTGCAGCCTTTGCTGCGCAGAGGCAGCTCCTCCGTGCTCGGTCACACAGAGACGTAGGAGGGGGTGTGCGAGACTCTACCCTCCTAAACACAGGCTTTTGCAGTCTGAGGTAAAATAGCAAGTAGAAATAGTAGCAGGTACTTAGGCTTTCCAGGGGGTCAGCGCAGAGGAGCTGCGTACGCAGTCGGTATGCTTTGCCAGCTAGGTTTCTGTTCCCTCTGCCTCTCTCCGTGCAGTAGTTGCTAGCCAGGATGGAGCTGAAGACCTTTCCAAGCCCTGCAGTCCAGAGCACAGCTGCCCGCTGCCCAGGCCGACTTGCAGCTCCGCAGGAGAAGTGCTCATGCTCCTCCCAGTATGAAGGTGAAAGCCAGATGTCCAAATGAGCACCCTGCTAGTTCTCTCAGTATTTTTAAGCGAAGAATAGGTTGACTTCATCCTCTCTGATAAATTTGTTGTGCATCTGGAAAATGCCAAACCAGTCTTCCTGTGATGATTTACTTTGTATTAAAAAAAAAAAAAAAACAAGCACAGGAGGAGAACGTGTGAGCACAAATCTTGGTACGCAGTTGTGCTGACTTTCCTTCACATCTTCCAAAAGATCAGGCGGGAACAGATGGCAAACCCTTCTGCACTGCTTCTAGGCCCTTTTCCCCTTACTTAAAAGAGCCTGTAACAGTGTTTGAAAGTGTGAGGAAGGGGAAATGTATGGGGGAAAATCCTGAGCCTCCAGTACAAAAGGTTAAAATAAAGGCATATACAGCATTCCTCAATGTGCAGATGTCATGTAAGTGGCTAGGGCCTTTGTTATAAAGGAAAAACACTGAATAGGACCCAAATGCTTACAACATACATTTCAGCAATAATAGGTTATTATTCAGTTTTAATTCCTTTTCCGTGTAAGTGTATCCAGACTTAGAATGTATTTTAGTGGAAAGGGAAATATTTTAGTTGAAGTGTATTAGAATTTTGGCAGCATTTCGTTCATTGAGAACGTATGTGAAAAGATAACAGATATGAACTACTTTACAAGGCACTTGTTTTTTGTTTCATAAAGCAATGAGTTATTTTATAGCCAAAACCCTTTCCAAGGAAATGTATGTACTTGTATTGGTGGTCACAATGTAAATAGCTGAATTAAAAATATGGTAGGCCTCTGATAGGTACTTTCCTCACCTTGACCCGTTAAGTTTAGTGATGTTTTTCTCATTTTTCTTCATGTTAACTGTTTATTCCTTGTTGTATGGATCTTTGCATCCAGATAAAGTTTTATTGTTACTGGTGATACTTTTTGCTTCATAGTGAGTGTTCTTCTCAGACCAGCTGGCCAGTAGCTATTCTTAAGGGCCCTTTAACCAGACTCTGTTGTTAGGATTTTGTTTGCTTTTTTTACTAAGGGTAGACAGGAAGGGGGGGGTGGGAAGGGGGGACTATTTTCAACTGCTGTGTTTCATTAATTATGCAAAAGCCATTTCTGTTTTTATATCATGGCAAAAGAGTGAGTCCTGAAGTGAAATGGAAATATCAATAGTTGGTCGTAAGTCCAAGGGACCCACTGAAAAATAGATTTTTGCCTTTGATATTTACATTAGCAGTAATATCAGCAAAGAGCTGCTATTTCTGCGTAACACATCCAATTTCAAGGAAAGTTCTTTTAAGCAAAGCCACAAACCAGAATTACCTGGCTATCTTTGAAAGAAATTGCAGTGTTCTGGCTGACCTGTCTTAGAGAAATTGCTGTCCTTTATCATAGGCTTTGCTCTGAATTTCTCACTGTAGTCCCTAAGGTTGAAACTGCGTTGCCCACTGCTGACTCCTACAAGCTTTGCGGCAGCCTGATGCTCATTTGTATTTTTCTTTCAAAATTGTTAAAATACCAGCTCATAGTCCCAAGGTACTGAGCTACGTTGAAAGTGACATACATCTATTGATATAAGCAAGTGTAATGATTTTAAAGGTTTATATTGTAAACAACTATTTAATAAACAATTATTATCCTTGTCAAACATACCTTTGACAGAAATATATGTCTCTGAATTCTACCCTTACATATGGACGTCTACATTTTTCAACAGTTTGTCACAAGCACAAGTTGAATACTATAACTATTCTGAAGTCGCGTGCTTTGAATTTCAGAATTTATGTATTTATACAATTTCAGAAATAAAATTCTGCAATTGAAAATAATAAAAGCAAAAAAGAGAGGAAAGCATTCTACCTAAGGTTGATCTTTCTAGCACTGTGAATCATAGCATATTTTAAAGGTTTTGTGAGGGTCACATTCTAAAACATAACAATTAATTATCTAAATGAAAGAGATGAAATGTTTCCACTCGGAAGCAGTTCACCAAGGATTTTGTCTGTTTATTTTTAGTAGTGGCACTGCATTTTCCAAGTCTTGATTTTGTCCCAGTACTGAATTTAGGTCACGCAGTCTTTGGTGGTTGATTACACGAAGAATAAGCAGGCTTAAAGAGGAATGAAGATCTCAATAGGAAAAAATTATTGTCGTCTCTCTTCCATTTTATATTCAATGAGAAGTGGAACAGCATAGTACAAGTGCCTACATCGTTGCAGTGACCACATAAATATGGCTGGGGGGAGAAGAGAAGTAAGAATGTATGATTACTGTCACCACGTT